CCCCCAAAATCCGGTTGTTGATGAGCCCAAATTTCACTTTCTAATGAGAGACGCTATAATTCGGTTCATAAACTTTACATTTATAAAGTCCTAAGTGACCGCAAGTGCACGATTATGTCAATAAAATACTTAGAGGTCGATCTTAGGGAAAATGTATTTAACACTAAAGCTCGGACTATGCCTACGATGAGCTAAGCCTAAACAAAGGTGGGCGTAATGGTATCCAAGCTAAACTAATTCTAAACTAAGATAAATCCTAAAGATAGTGGAGAAAACAAAAGTGATAAATATTTTCGGGTTCTAGAAATTAAGTGTAACCACACTTGGAAATAATTTGAATACTATGGGGAATATTCTCTAGTTTTCTAAGGATAAGAATTGTGTAGTGCTCCATGCATAATGAGGAACTTAGACATCTATTGTTATAGCTACCCACTTCCGTGATCTAGCTAAGCTAACCTAACGGATCTTAGAATCCTAAGCTTCCACTTGGTACTAAGAGTTCATAAAGAGCATTACGAATGAAGCCTAAATCGTGTTTCTAGAAGAATTCATTCCATAATCTTTCGATTGGTTTCAAACCCCCTAATCAATGATCTTTTGCTCTAAGTGAACATAACATGCTTAAGGTCATGAGTCTCAAACAAGCATTATGAACATATCACCAAACCAATACCAAAGAGAACACAAATATTGTTAAGCATAATGAATTAAAAGCATTGGTCCATTTAAATCCTATCACAAATCCTAGGTGATCAATCAAGGAAACCCAAAACCTTACACTAGATACATGCATGAGTTCATTAGAATCTTAATCATACTCTAGGCGATCAATCAAGAATAGAAAAAACAAGCCATAAACTCAATGATTCATAATCCAAATTTCATATCAAATCTAAATAAATTCCAACTTCCATTAGGGCATCTCCAACCCAACACCAAATCCTACACTAAATCTTATTTTTGGTGTAAAACTTTATCCAACCCAACACCATTTCTAATACCAAAATGTGTAAACTCATTTTTTACACCATATTTGGCGTAAAAAATGAATCTACACCATTTTGGTGTTGAATTTTTTTATTTATAAAAAAGTCTTTCAAATTTTAATAAACTTTAAACTTGATAAAAACCATATATAAATGGTGATGATTAAACCCAAAATCTAATATATTTGGTGATAATTAAACAAAAAATTAATATATTTTTTATTTTATATGTTGAAATGTATTCTTTTATATAATAATTG